CACTGCGGCAGTGCCGATAGAAAACGGCAGCTTTTTGGCACTGCGGCAGTGCCGATAGAAAACAGCAGCTTTTTTGGCACTGCGGCAGTGCCAAATCGGCACTGCGGCAGTGCCGATAGCCACTACCAAAAAAGTTTCTCAACAACACGATGCATCAGCTGAAAAGTCAGTTCGCGTCAACTTACGTCAATTCGCGTCAGTTTAAGTGGTACTGTATGATGAACTCAAAGTCGGGCTCCGGAGGGAAAAATTGACATGTTGTAAAACTGATTTTTTAAGACAGAAAAAGCACATTTGACGAAAAACTCTTAAACGGTTAATGAGATACAGAGTTTTGAATATTTAAAAACTGGGGGAAACATGGAGAACTGCCATTTTTCCACCTATTCTCATTTTTTTTAAATAGACCTATTCAAAAATTTCATTAATCATTACCGAGTTTTTCGATATGCTTTTTATGTCTTCTAAATAAATCAGTTGTACAACATATCAAAACAAATTTTTCCTCAGAAGCTTGACTTCAGTCAATGTTGCGGATGTGTTTTTTTTTTATTCCTTGAATTTGCATCTTTTTTCTACAGTCAATGATAATTTAATGAACATAAGTGGTGTCAAACCAATTTAGATTACATAGGCCAACTTTCGATAAGCCTAAAGTGGGCCGATGTATTTTATGTAGGTAAATACAGAGACTATATGTGACAACAAAACATGTTCAAATAATAATACAATGCAAAGAAGATTAAAATCAGAAATTTCAAACATCAGAACCCAGCTTTTATTGTTTAAAACTGTCGGGGCCCCATTGAATGAAACTATGGTATTATAGTTTATATTATATTTTTTACAACTACAATGCGGGACCCCTCGTGCCCTGGGGCCCTGGAGCTCCGCCCCCACCCCCGTCAGCACCCGAGCGTGACACCACTGAAGAATATTCGAGCTAAGTAAACAAAAAATGCATTGAATATAATATAATATTATTTTTAATTTATAATGAAGAATTTGTAATGAATAAATAAATAAAGTTTTGTGTTCTGGTAAATTTGATATTAATTGCTCAACGATGTTATTTTTACCTGCGGTCCATGATACTTGCCAACCGTTGAAATTGGTGTTCTTATCAGTAAGAAAGTAAATCCACACGGTATCAGTAGCAATTGATAGAGTGCCAGGCGGTAGGTTATTATTATCAAAGGCATATTGAACACCGGGAATAGTAACGAATGATAGATCACTTGGAAACGATAGTCCCTTGCCTACGTATAATTCATCTTTAGTGGCCTCTACCTGAAACCCCGCTGCAAATGTCAGTACGATTTCAGTAGCGTAGGGTATGTAAAGCTGGTATAACTTATGGTAATCGTTTGGGTAAGGGTTCGGGTAGTTGGGTGACGAAAACACAAATGTGGTACATTCTCGTGGCCATCCAAAACACCGTTCAGTTTCTTCAATTGCAACTAGAGTGAAACGAATACATTGGTTAAATTTATAACTAAATATAGCTTAAATACTTTAGAAACATTTACAAGTATCAATTATATTGTGCGACAATAATAATAATAATAATAATAATAATAATAATAATAATAATAACAATAAACTAAATAGCTTGAATACTTTAGAAACATTTACAAGTTACCGTATTATATTAAAGTGCAATAATAATAATAATAATTTAATTCAATAAATGTGTTAATTGTTATGTAATAATAATAATAAATAATAATGATAATAAGATAAATGTTGTTATGTAATAATAATAATAATAATAATTTTAGATTCAGATTCAGATATATTCTGATATTATTATTATTATTATTATTATTATTAGGCGCTATTATTGTTTTAATAATAATAATAATAATAATAATAATAATAATAATAATAATAATAATACAAATAAGCCTAGTATTATTTAATATTATAAGCCAAAATTTAGCATATACCTTGTACACACAATTTTTATAAGTATTGTTTTGTGACATTCAATAAATGTGTTGTTATTATGTCTAAAAACTTACCGTTTTGCTCACTGCAGGCGAACCCCATATATGTTGTTTGCAAACACGAGCATGCGTAGTTTGGTTGTCCCCCAGGACGTTCGTAACACGTATCTCCAATCCCATTGCAAGGGTTGGTCGCACATACAGCACCTATGATTATTCAATATACATTGCATTATTATTATTAAATAATATATATCTTTTTACAATTAAAAAATATATCTTTTTAACCTTTTGTGATTTTGCAATATAATTTTTTCTTTAATTGTTATATCTTTATATACTTTGGTTATCTACCTTTGTTTTTCTGCTCTTAGCCGTTGCTCAGTGATAAGATAGTACAGCTATTTTTTTGTTTTCATAATTTAAGATCTCTGTATAGGCCTCTATATAAAAAGGCTCCTAATGAAATTATAAGATAGTTAGGAAGTGATTTGTTTTTTTAATGATTTTATTTGTGGATTTCTTTTTACATTATACCAACATATAGAGGCTCAGTCCAATTAGGTCTACAATTCCTTTAAATATGGATTATCGTATGAACTACCGTACCAGCCTCCTGGTTGGACAGGACAGTGTTTGTGTGCTAAGCGCATTCTTTATAATCTAGTTAAAAGCCTTGGTCTGAATAGGCTCACCAGGATATGGGTACACTGTAAAGCGTTACTGCAGTTTCAAGTAAATCACAAAAGTCAGATAACGTCTGACTATTATGTTCTTTTTACTAATCTCTGATGGCCTTCAAATAAAGAATTACAATGAATAATGACAATACATGATCACCAAGAATCAAGGTAAACATTCCAGTGATGTGTTCTCGGTATCTTGTCTAAAATAAATACACGTCAGGGGCGGATCCAGTGTAAGGGGTGGGAGGGGGAATGCCAGGCGATCAATTTTTTTTTCTTTCTTTTCTTTTTACTTTTCGGGGGCTCGGGGTCTGTCTCTTATACACATCTAGATGTGTATAAGAGACAGGTATAGCACTACATTACATTACAAAGAGAAGGACTATAGGCCTAAAAAAATAAATGAACTCACGTTCTTGGCATATTGCTCCTGTCCAACATTCCGGGCAAGTGCAAGTTAAGGCTTGGCAGTCGGCAGTCATGACACATGTAGCCCCATTCTGACATGGACTAGCATCACATCTGTCCACAGCTACAAACAAGAAAAAAAATTTCATGTATATAAAATATTGGTGGTGGTTTTGCCAGTGTTCTTCCAGCCTTGATTTAAAATTGGTTAATTTTCTGAATTCACAACTTCATCCAATAAACTACTCCAGTCATTCATCATTCTCGCTTAACTTTAAACTTATCATAATATATATTATTGTTATTATTCAAAACTTATAATGAGATATGTGCATTGATATGTTTACTGTATATAAACATATATATATATATATATATATATATATATATATATACCGTAGGCGCAGTGATAACAAAAATAAAAATTTAAAAAAGTGCAAAGAAAAGTTCATTCTAGGCTGTCCGTGACAGGCAAGGGCGGTCACATTGTGATGGGATCGATAAACAGAAATAACCCGGCTCAACACACTGCAGACATTGATTTGATTGTTGAACAATTACTATGACAGAATGCATTAGTTCCTAATTGAACGAAATGCTAAATATTGATTAGAAATAAACCTCCCGTTAGTACATTTTACTGCAGACAAATTAATGCGAATTTTATTCAAGAAACTAAATCCCGGAGATTTCACCATTGAATATATAGGCATATGAAAACATCAGTATATAGACCTGTATGCGTACTCTACATGTGTACAGTATCTGTAGACCTTCTTTGTGAATGTTTTGTAGGCCTAGTGTGTTAAAGATGATATTGGTGTGTATCTATTAACAGTAAGCGTAAAATGGTCATATTCTCACAGTAGGAATATTGTATTAATTCTATGCAACATTATGATATAGGCCTATTCGATAAGCAAAGTAAAACCGTTTTGTAAAAGTCGTCCAAAACCCAATTAAAGGACACTTAAAATTGTCATGTATGAAGATGAGTTGACCGATATTCAGTCCTACTCAATATGAATTATACGATGTTTTTCGATCAATATTTGATCTAGAACCACTTCAAATACTTTACTGTATTCATTCCTAGTGTATAAAATCTCCTAGAATCAATATAATAAACCGGAACGCGGTAAACTAAATCTCACGTTCCTCGTACCTTTGTTAATCATCGCATGCTTCATTCTTCATAATTTCAATTGATTAAAATATAATAATAATAATAATATTAAAGTATGAGTCACCTTGGTGGTTTACGGGGTTTTCGCTCAGAAAGGACACGTCCGCAAAGGTATTTTAACACCTAGATATTCTACTTGTCTAACATGAGCCTAATCGTCCTATTTAGTGAAAAACGTGTTATCTCCATTAACCAATGAATTTCTATAAAATCGGTGTCTTAATGATTTATTCTATAACCTGAATGTGGTCAATGTAACCATCGCGTGACCTTGTTCGCGGTATGATTGTTATTGGTAAAAAATATTATCATTATCTGTAATAATTATTAATATTATACATGTTGATATTGTTATTAATATTGTTGTTATAATTATAATTATAATTATTATTAATATTTTAGGCTAAGTTATTATTATTATTATCATCATCATTATTATTATTATTGTTATTATTATTATTATTATTATTATTATTATTATTATTATTATTATTATTATTATTATTATTATTATTGATAGTAATTGCTATTGTCGTGATGGAATAATAGACAATAACTGGATTTGCGTCAGTAGAAACATGTATAGGTGTAATTTGCCCTACCTGACGTGGAAATGTACCAAATACTCAGTACATTTGAAAACAACTGCGAAATTATTATTATTGTTGTTGTTGTCGTTGCTGCTGTTGTTTATTTTTGTTGTTGTTGTGGTCCTGTTACAACGTCTTCCAATGTCAAACAGCAAGGAAATCATACTTTGGACATCATGGTTTCTATTGCCACAGGGAAGACTAATTTTTTGTATGTGATTTTCTTCACAAAAGATCGAACGAACTACAGTATATATACAGTGGAAAACACAATAGCAAGTGCGTGTGTATATTTATTCATTGATGAATGTGTTCTGGTACGGTAGTAAATCTTAATTCAACAAATATAGTTATTACTTGGACAGCATTTTAATATGGTTTTATGGCTTTTTCCCTTATTGCGATTATAAATGTTTCCTTAATTACATGTTGCACTGATAAAAAGATGAGTTGTTTCAACGGAACCGAGTAACCATGGTGATATTAAATAAAGATGTAATTAGTTCTGCCTGGCACAATGCTAATCCAGGTCATCTGTCTATTTATGTACATTATTCATGCTACAGACTGGGGATACGGGTACGATGTAACTTAAAGCTGGTTTTCCACTAGGTGAATTTATTCGCGCGAATCAAAGCGTCGGTTCGCTTCCTGAGCTCTGATTGGTTGCGCATTTTTTTTCGCTTCGCAAAAACTCCGATAGGAATGTGAACGCACATGAACCAACGTTTTGATTCGCGCGAAAGAATAAGAGTTTATTTTCCTTTACAGCCTACGGTGTCATCTCTAATTTGGAGTAAAACAAAATAAATAAATGATAAATTATTTTTAGTTACTGGATTTTAGTTAGGACCTTCGAGATCTACATTACGGCAATAATTATTATACAATTATACAGAGAAGCTATGAGGGAGGTGTTGTTTGCAGATAATATCATTATTTTTTGCTATTTTGTTACTGTTCTTGTCTTAAATTCTAGCACTGAAGGTTATGATATAATATTGTTAGATATCGTAAATATTTGTGGACATACCGTACTTCCTATTATTTTACTCTTTATGATTTTACTTGATTAAAAAAGTAATAATGATAATAGAACTATAACATCTGGTAATCGAGAATAGTCTTTTCCGGAGTGTCAAACTACTGTAACAACTGACCAATCAAAACAGGGTCAGCAATACGCGCGCGTCCCACAATATTTAGTCGTATTATACGTAAGTTAGATAAGTTAGATATAGGTATACATGTTTTAGATGTATACAAAGAGCGATGTAAAGCATTTTTGTCAAATCAATAACATAAATGCATAAAATTCAATGGAATTAGCTTAAATATCGCAACGTCCATCAGTAACAATAGTAAATCCAATCTAAAGCCTAATCGTGGATTAGAATAAGATAATGCAACGCTCATTATATATAGGCCTAGGCTATATATATTATATATATATCATATATAATACGTATTATAGTGTCATGTGAATATATATTATGTTTATGTATGTTATGTAATATATTCACACACAGCATTTCATATACATATATAATATATAAGAGAGATTATATATATATTTTATATAATGTATATATAATGTCTATATGTATATACTGTATATGTCATATATGATACATTATAGTGCCAAATGAATATATATGTATATGTATGTTATGTAATATATTCACTCACAGCATCTTTCTCTGTAGAATTTATAACATTAACTCGTCTACAAGGTTAAAAACCCCGGGGCCTAAGGGTTAAAACCTACAAGGAATAATAAATGTTGCAGTATTCTTAATTTAAAAAAAAAAATAAAAAAAAAATAAAAAAAAATTCAATGGAATTAGCATAAATATCGCAACATCCATCAGTAACAATAGTAAATCCAATCTAAAGCCTAATCGTGGATTAGAATAAGATAATGCAACGCTCATTATATATAGGCCTAGGCTATATATATATATATATTATATATATATCATATATAATACGTATTATAGCGTCATGTGAATATATATGTATATGTATGTTATGTAATATATTCACACACAGCATCTCATATATATATATATATATAATATATATATATGAGAGAGAATATATATATTATATATAATGTATATATAATGTCTATATGTATATACTGCATATGTCATATATGATACATATTATAGTGCCAAATGAATATATATGTATGTTATGTAATATATTCACTCACAGCATCTTTCTCTGTACAATTTATAACAACATTAACGCGTCTACAATGTTAACAACCCCGGGGCCTAAGAGTTAAAGCCTACTAGGAATAATAAATGTTGCAGTATTCTTATAATTAAAAAAAAACAAGACCTACGAATAATAGTCTAATATATTATTATTATTATTATTATTACTGCTACTGCTACTACTATTATTACTACTAATAGGTAAGACATTCAAACCAAAATATTATACTTTGTCATATTATTTTATACATAAACAGTGAAACCAAAATAATGTAGTTGAAATGACAGAATCTACAAGTGCTCCTTGACCTAATACTCCAATCAATACATCAATGAAACATCTCCTGTCAACATGGATGATCACAATATTATATAAGGATATACTATTGCGTCATGTTACCAAATTTTACTTACCGTCTTCTTGTGCCAACGAAGATGCGATACTCAGGAAAAGGAAAATAATTTTAAGTAATTGGTCCATTGTTCCGACAGATGTGAATTGTCCACTAAGATTTGCTATATCATACTTCTTGCCAGCAGCAAAACAATATATTTTCCTGAAAATTGGCATATAGAATATTCCGGTTATTTAGTCACCTGTGTCTCAGAGCAGAAGAAGGTCACTTCTTGAACAAATTTAAATGTTGATGGTGAAATAAATGCAGAGATATTCACAGTGATGCTATGTAGTTATTATTTCGGTATCGCGATTGATTCTGAAATGGTTTCAAAATGTATCGGAGCCAGTGGTGACTAGTCCCTATTCATATTTAAATAATACCTATTCTGTCACCCACAATTGAGCAATGGTTATCCAAGCGTTTGGGTTAACACTGCTTGTGGGGAAGCAACAAAAGACGTATTAAAACGGTATGCTTCAATTCATTGGCGGCGCTGTATTGAAAACAAACTGCCCAAAAACAGCCTTGTCGTCTGGCTTGAATGATTTCAGATCTCACACACTCGTGGTTATTTGAATTGTTTGTATTTTGTTGATATGCCATAAGTTTTGTGACAAATCTTTAAAATATGTATGGGAATATGACAAGCATAATTTTTTCCTGAATGTTTTCATTTTCACTAACATTAATACTATTGAATCATTTTTGGAAATGGTTTCATATTGTGTTATGTGCTTTTATAATATTAATAATATAATTAATAATTTTTATTATATTCATTGCGTACTACGTAATAAATTGAGAAAACAGTGTTTTAATGGGAAATACAAGGGTGTATACCACTTGGCCTCAGTTGGTAGAGGATCCGCACGGTAATCGGAAGGTCTCGTGTTCAAATCTCGATGTGGGAGAATTATTATCATCAATATGACATAGTTATTATTAATACTGTAATACTAACCACATCATCAAATCCACTGATACTTACTACGGTACTAATTTGAAATGTGAAACTAGTACAACGAAAGGTGTTACAATAAAACTTGGTTCCCAAAAGGTTTAGGCCCAGTTCCCAATATTTAGAACCGCATCTTGTTTCATTTGAGTCTCCAGAAAATAAACCAAACTCAGCATTTTAATATCTTTATTGATACTGTATTAATTTTTTTTTTTTTGGCCGAGCGGCAATTTACTGCTATAAGTTTTTGAAACAGTATAGCATCTACAAAATGAACAAAAATACTGATCATGCTCTTTGTTTATTAGTGAAGTTACGTGTAAGTGCATTGAAGCTGTATGTTGGTGACTAATGCCTTCGATTATACGACGTGACAGTGGATTCCGTATGAATCACGAATAAAAAATTTGGCCTACAATTTACATTTTGTACTAAACTTTTTACTATGATTTGTATAATGATTTACATTTTAGCTTAGATGTAAATGTCACAATATATTGTCATTTTATAACACTGGAAACTAGCGACGAAATGGGACTTGTAATACCAGACACAATTTTCATAAATTTTTCATAAATTTGAGCTTAATATTCACGGATCTTTAAGCGTACTCTGGGTTCACTGTTTACAAGTAAAAGCTTAATATATTCTTTTATATTTTTAAATGATTATGGCAACAGAATTAAATTCTAAATACACTAGCTTTTATTTGATAACTCAAAGATTTTGGTGAACTTTAACATTGGGATACTCATAAGAATACAATTGGAATTGTGACCAGAATAAGGGCGTCTGGCGTTAATAACAATCAAAGTCAAATAATTTGGATATCAATTAATTATTTTCGGTCGAAATAAATTATTGTATCTAATTTTGGGTCTCTGTTTCCTTATTGATTTAAAATATTTCATAATAACGTGGACTATCTCCCTATTTACATGTCCAATCTATGGTCGGTAGAGTTGTCCTAACGCCGAATGTGAACATTTTGGTTCAATGATGAAAACAACCAAAAGTAGAATTTGTATTCGTATATAATTACCCTAAGCGTCACCGTGCTTTGATGACATCAGTAAATGCAATAAAAGAGGGTTTCTGAAAGAAAATAATTCTGGTACGCTTCGGGAGATGGTACTTATTATATTTTGTAGCTGGAGTGTGAAGGAGGGAATACCATGAAATGCGTAAGGACTTCATTGTCATCAGGCTACGTCACAAAGGGGTCTAACACGACAATCACTTTTATGACTGCCAGTGTTGTGAAGCATGACCAATCATTATATACTGCAATAAAAGTTCAGTTGCGTTTACTAACATCTACAATTGAGAACTGAAAATACAACCTGTTGTTATTGGTAAATTGACGTTGACATGCTATTGATGTCTAGATAGTATAATACATACTTCAAGCATCGAAATGCACGCCATCGTGTCGGGATTCTCATCAGTATTCTTGAAAATGATCAAATAGATCGAAACGTTGAATTCTCAAAATGTCCCTGTCTCTTTTCGGAGTTAGTGTCTTTTTGTTTTATTTAAGACTAATTAATGGATCCTCTGGTATTATACTATCTTATCTGAGCCTCAGATCGGATCAGTGGACCTTTCAGCTATTCATGTCTTGCACTGTTGTAATTGCAACACGTAGGCCTGTGACGTCAACTTTGTTTAGTTGAATGTACGAGATGTCAGAATTATAACAATTATTGTCTACATAATTTGTACTTTCGCGTAGAGTTCATGGTTCGCTCAAACAATAGTTCTGTCAATACTGTAATTCCAAGAAGAAAAGTACGTAACCCACAATCTATGTCTTGAATAGGTGTAGGCCTACACAGTTTCAAAAGATCTATACTGTGCTGAAGTCTTTGACTACCGTACTCTATACACTCATGGCTACTCATTAGGAATTGCAACTACAATATACTTTCATAATAAAAGAGTAAATATTGGTAAAACTTTGGTTAAAAGTAACTAAGGTCGGTATATCTACTTGAGAATAAAGATAGTTGAATTCAAATCATACATATAACGTACCGGTATGAATAGAGAGATTCACATTTATGAGCATGACTGTATTTTTGTTAGCATACCTAGATGTCTACTTGGTGAATATTTTGTTCCAGAATGGTTAAATGAGCCATATTTTGTTTTACATAGTTAAAACAGTCTTCAAATAATAAAAAATAAAAAGCAGCGAGTGAAATAACTGACACAGACATTGAAAGCAAATAAGCTCGAAATTCAAATAACTTTCTATACTGTAATTGCCAATATACTTCCAAATATTTAACGCATGTTTGATATACAGGACTATTAAAACTATTACAAATTTTTCATTGAGATAATTTAAAAAAAAAGGTACCCCGGAACAGAAAACATTGTTAGAACATAGCATGTATTTGTGAACGTTGATTAGGTAATGACAGTGCCACCGGGAACCATACGGGCTTTGGCCGGACCACTTTTTCTCAACTCTTATTAGGGGCCTACTTTTTAATTTTTTTTAAATTATTTATTTTTTTTATTAAAGACCCAACATTGTGCCAAAAAAACAAAACAAAACAAAACAAAAACAGGGTCGTCATAATAGTACAGTATGATATAAAATAAATTTCTAAAACAACACAAAAGATCTTATCTTCATCATAGTCGAAGTCTATGTTTCAGTAGTGCTAATACGTACCGGTATTGCACGCTGGCAATCATTAGTATAGGGGAATAAAAAATAAATCAATGTTTTGCATGCTAAAACGTTGTGGAGTGAACCGTTAACAATATTACAAAACACAATATAAATAAAGATGAGGTAAAATCAGAGTGCAGTATCTGTGCTACAAAGGGGAGAATGGAATGAATTTAGAATAACAAAGATAAATTAACATGAACAAGCTGTTTGTCCAGTGAGGGCTAGCTCTCACTGAATATGCAAGATTCTTTTTGAGAATTTGGGTTGTATAGGTGTCTAGCTATGTACCGAGCTCTATAGCGATGGCTATCCTGTTTTTATTTATTGTCCATTCAATATGATTTTTTATTCAAACAACCACTAGTTGTACAGTAGTAAAGAATAGGATAGGCCTAGATCTTGTTGTGGCTTGACAACTTAGCGCGAGAGATCCGATGTTGCGTGACATCGTCGTCGCCGCGCTCGGTTCTCAAAATTATGCCTTCTGTTTTACCGATTTTACGATTTTATTTTTTTCATTTCATTCAATTATAAATGCAACTACAAATATATAATTAGCAATTCCTTACATCCAATCAATAACCAATTACGAAAATATACTGTACACTACTACTAATAAAAACTAATTCAATTTTAACTAAGTAATTCATCACAACAAACGTATAAAATTACAATAATCCGAATAACATGAATACAAATTACATATTATTCATCCAATAAGAAAAAAAAAACCACCCCAACAATAATTTAATTAACGATTAGACGATTGTGGTAAGTGTAATGAATAACCAGA